AATTAATGCTTTTTATGGATGGCTGCATTTCGGGCTGGAAGCACCTACGTCACTTTTGTTAACGTAATTTGATCAAAATGAAACTGAAAGCTAAAGGAAGGGAAAAATCCCATACGTTTAATTTGTTTCTTGGAAGAAGGGTTGATTGTTGCTTTTAACATAGGTAAGTTTTGGGCAAGTCCAGTTATTTTGTGAAGGAAAATGCAATTGACTTTTACTCTGTGACTCTAATATTGTTTTTCTGATCGCTTGGTATTTGTATAGGTAATAGCATGATTAATAGTGATATTTGGCAGAAATACCATGAGTGATATTTCAAAATTGTTATACGTAATTTCACGAGCCGTTAGGCGAGTGAAATTTGAGACAATTTTGAAATATCACGAGTGGTATTTATGCTAAATATCATGTCCAAATCATGCTATTATTTGTTTATACGACTACTCGCAAAAGGTTTGTAATTTTGACATGTAGGTATCTCAAATTTAGCTGAAATACCACTGCTCTAAGCCAATCAAATTGCAGAAATTTCTCATGTAGTAGTATAACTAAATGAAGATGGAATACTTTCAAACAATTAGAAAAACGGCTTTTGCACAAATTCTAGAAAATAATGTGACTGCCGGGCATATAGCCACAGCGTATTAAAAACTGTTTATTCGATTTAATTTGACCCCTCTTTAGCCTAAATTTCAGACGATTGCTTCAAGTCGTTCAGTTACTCCCTCAGGTGAGGGAGTCGAAAATACGACTCGAAGTAATCGTCTGAAATTCAGCTAACCCCTAGCCTCTAGGCTTTGGCACTTTATGCTAGCATTATTTTGAGCATAATAGCATGGCAAAAGTATCGAGCATAATGCTAGCATTGTAGCAAGATTTTTGTATCATTAAAAAGGAAAGATGTGTCTAAAGTGATGAAATTTACCGAGAAACAGCCAAACATATACATATTTCAGAGGTTTTTAGCCAAAACTAGAGACAGCCTGGGTCTAGTCAATGTTCCAGTATGGATGGCTCAGACAAAAGAAACCAACTTAAACCAGTAGAAGCCCCGGAGGGGGGTGGGGGATACTGCCATATATGGGCTATACCCGGGAGGGTACTGCCATATATGGGCTATATAGGTATGTGCCGCTGTGAAGGGTATGGTTTTCAAGCAGTTTACTCTAGGATAGGGTGATCAGAGTGTTTGGGTCTAGAATAGGGTATCATTTCTCAGGAAACTGATCGGTTGGTTGAAGATTTTATCTAGACTAGGGAAACAGCAAACAGCTACTCTAGGATAGGGGGGATTTGGGGAGTTTACTCTAGTATAGGGTAGCAAAATTTAGCTGAACTAGCTCTGGTATAGGTTAAGGGTTCCAGGATCCCAGTGGCACATCCCCACCCAGAAATTCCTAAAGAACCTCCTCGGGGGGCTATATAAGTATGTGCCGCTGTGAAGGGTATGGTTTTCAAGCAGTTTACTCTAGGATAGGGTGTATAAATCAGAACGTTTAGGTCTTGAATAGGGTATCATTTTTCAGGAAACTGATTAGTTGGTTGAAGATTTTAGACTAGGGAAACAGCTACTCTAGGATAGGGGGATTTAGGGAGTTTACTCTAGTAAAGGGGAGCAAAATTTAGCTGAACTAGCTCTGGTATAGGTTAAGGGTTCCAGGGTCACAGTGGCACATCCCCACCCAGAAATTCCTAAAGTAGCCCCCCCCCCCGGGTAGAAGCATAGTAACTGAAAATTTTTGTGTCTGTTTATATTGTGTATGTATTGATGGAACTTTCGAGCATTTTAGCAAGGCCATAAGGCCCATTTCAAACGTCGTGCTACTGCCTTGCCGCACTCAATTGATCGAATTAAATTCGACTTTAGCACGGCAGTAGCGCGGCGTTTGAAACCAAGTCGTGCTACTGCCGTGTAGCACGGCAAGCCTTGCGGTGCTACCGCCGTGCCGAACTCAATTCATGAATTATAAATACATTAGAATATATTTAAAAGTTTGCTAAACCGTTTCTTTATTTTTGTATTTTGTTTTTGGCAACAGCCGTTCCATTCGACTGTCACTGTGTGAATTAAATTCGACGTCTGAAACCAAGTCGTGCTAATGTCGTGCTGCAGTCGAGCTACAGTCGAGCCAGCTTAGCACGGCAGTAGCACGACGTTTGAAACAGGCCTAAGAGCATAATAGTAAAAATTTTGAGCATTAAGCATTAGCCAGAAGCATATAACCGTCATATGGTTTTTTTCGTGGATGGCTGCATTTCGGGAGCTATTTCTGGAAACACTAAGTTACGTGACTTTTGTTGACATAATTTGATCAAAATGAAACTGAAAGCTAAAGGAAGGGAAAAATCCCATAGGTTTAATTTGTTTCTTGGTAGAAAGGTTGATTGTTGCTTATAGGTAAGTTTTGTGCAATTCCGGTTATTTTGTGAAGAAAATGCATTTGATTTGTAGACTGACTTGTTTTGCAAAATATGATTTCCTCGTAGACTTTTTCGACGTGACAAATCAAGCGAACTATCAACAGTATCAAGACTACTCGGAAATTTATAACTGAGGTAGGCATTGTATTAGCTGAAGTTATACTAGAACTCCTCGGTTCCTTTACCTTAGAACGGCATCGGGTCATTTATCTCGCGGAAACGTTTGTCAAAGCATGTCTCTGTTTAATAAGGCCTTGTTGTCTATGATCCTTTAGTTCGCAGGGGACTTTTTCATCGATAGTACCCATCATGATCATGTAGGATTTCATCTCAGCCATTTCACTGATTTATTATGCATACATGGTTATCATCCCACTCTGTATACAGTTGAACCTTTATCAAGAGGCCACCTATTAAGCGGCCATCCTCCAAATTCTATATGTAGAAAAGAATTGGAAATTAAACCTCTATTGATCGGGTACCTTTATTAATTGATTGCTGCCACCTTTTTACCGTTCCAACGAGAGTTTTTCCATTGTTGTCACGTCTGTTAACCGGCCATCAATCACAGACAGATTACTATGTTTGGCTTTATTTTAAGAATATGATGAAGGAAAACAGTCCGAAATAGACGGTGACGACCGATTGTGGACCATCGTGTGTTTGTTGTAAAATAAGGTTTTCTTCTAAGAAAGATTATGATAATCTATGACATGGTTTATGACGAACCTCTATTGATATGCCATGAGCGCTACCCTCCATTAACCCTGGCGTTAAGCGGCCACTTGCTGGTATCCCGAGGGTGGCCGCTTAATAATGGAGGTTCACCTGTCCGTACTACACAGCCGTTTTTAGTGTCGTCACGCAACGCAGCGTTTCGTGACGACACTAAAAACGGCTGTGTGGCAGACTATACTCATAGTCATATAAAAATCTTTGAATACAAAGTCTTTCTAAACCAGCTCATCCTCGGACGGATGTATTTACAAAAGAACTTGCAATCTTCGTAAGTGACGTGACACAAAAGAATTTCCAAAGAGATCAACGTAACAGAGCTATACTAAGGAAAATGGGAGGTAAAAATAGAAAAAAAAGAAAAAATTCCCCAGGTTTTTGCACCTACCGAGTTAGACTTTTAAGAAAAAGTGCGACGGTCAGGATGTATCGAGCATCGAGTGGCAGCAGTTGAAAAGTCGATTTCCTTCAATTTTTTGTCAATAGATAGCTTTTAGGTAGATAAGTAATCTGAAGTAAACTGTTCTCGTAAAAAGCCTTTTATTTGCGAGAAAAGTTAGAATATCCGTTTTTTATGACCTTAGTTTCAACCTGCAGAGATTTCCTTCAACTAACCCAAGCCAATTCCCAGGTATGTTTTAAATGAATGTCTAAATGTGTGATTTAAATAGGATGAAGAGAATTTGGAGTTCTATCACATGTTAAATATTGCCGTCGAAAATGAGTAACGAACTTAAGTTTTTGTTTGTATCCTGAGAACGTATCTCTCATTTTTAAATTATTTCACAACGACGAGCGTCGCTATTTTAAAAATACCCTGAAAGTATCTTCTAGTAAAAGAAAAATAATTTTATTTTTGATGCAACGTGTCCACATTTCTCCATCCGCCTTCTTTTGCAAACAAGAGAAAAGTTGATGTTAGCAAATTTCAGGTAAAAAATTAGGGAAGTCTGAGACTCCACTCGAAAACGACAAATAAAAGGCTTTAGGCGGGAACAATCTACATTAGGTTTCTTATCTACCTAAAAGCTATCCATGGACAAATTCATTTTTTAACTCCTGCCACAAAATTAAGATTTTGCTCGATTTTTCTTGACCGTCGCTCTTAAGCTGGAACCGAGCAGGGCAAGGAGTCAGGGGGGCCTTTCCTATTTTATATGAACCATAATTATAGTTTTCTGAAATTCCACAAGCTTAAAATAACTGGAGGTATAGAAATATATATTCTTTTCGTTTGCTGTACATTTGTATTCCGTTACCAAGATTTTTAAACCTTAGAAATAAGTTCACTTTCCGAAATTTGATTTTTCTGAATATTCCTACTGGCCCGGTTTGTAGTTTGTTACCAACACCTTTAGTATTTTTAGTGGAGGGTAGAATAATTTTTTTTGTACAACGAATAGATAGATAATTTATATACGCCATGTTTTAACAATGGTAAATCTGTTTTCTTTTTTCATTTCGATCATTATCACCAAAAAGAATGTCTTTTTCCTTTTTTTAAGAGAAGACCCCAGTTTATCAAGTCACATGACACAACGATAAAAAACAAGTAGAACGATTACTATTTGTGGCAAACCAAATGCGACTGTGATCATGGACAAAAACAAATAATAAAAGAGCTAATAAATAAGCGTCTACTCAATGTTTAAATTTTACTTTGCATTTTCGTTATCGTAGGTTATCTTACATAACCAGAAATGGTATCAACAGCAGAAAAATGAAACCATATCATATCTATACTTTTTTTTAGACGAGCTGAAATAGCAAAGCCAGCAAAATATGTGACAGCTACAACTATCTTCTGGAAAAGCAGTAGATTTTATCTGCAATTTGTTATTTGAATGGCTAAGAAAGAAAAAACAGAGGCCACCTGTAATCTTGGAAACACCTACAAGATTGCCGATGAGGTTGGGGAGACGACAGAGGAAAAAAAAGGGAACAGTAATATTGGCGAGGCCTATGTCAACTTTAAAGATTTCCAGAACTCCATAAACTACCTTAAAAAGAGCCTCAAATTTTTCAGACAAGTGGGCGACAGGGCAGGAGAAGGAAAAGCGTACTGTAATCTTGGAAACGCCTATTACGGTCTAGGAAATTTCCAGAAAACCATCGAGTACCATGAACAACACCTAAAAATTTCCAAAGAATTGGGAGATAGGGCAGGAGAAGGAAAAGCGTACAGTAATCTTGGCAACGCCTATGACAGTCTTGGAGATTTCCAGAAAGCCATAGAGTACCATGAACGAGACCTCAAAATTTCCAAAGAAGTGGGAGACAGGGCAGGAGAAGGAAGGGCGTACTGTAATCTTGGCAACGCCTATTACAGTCTTGGAGATTTCCAAAAAGCCATAGAGTACCATGAACGAGACCTCCAAATTTCCAAAGAATTGGGAGACAGGGCAGGAGAAGGAAAACGTACTGTAATCTTGGCAACGCCTATTACAGCCTTGGAGATTTCCAGAAAGCCATGGAGTACCATGAACGACACCTCAAAATTTCCAAAGAAGTGGGAGACAGGGCAGGAGAAGGAAGGGCGTACTGTAATCTTGGCAACGCCTATGACAGTCTTGGAGATTTCCAGAAAGCCATAGAGTACCATGAACGAGACCTCAAAATTTCCAAAGAAGTGGGAGACAGGGCAGGAGAAGGAAGGGCGTACTGTAATCTTGGCAACGCCTATGACAGTATTGGAGATTTCCAGAAAGCCATAGAGTACCATGAACGACACCTTAAAATTTCCAAAGAAGCGGGAGACAGGGCAGGAGAAGGAAGAGGGTACTGTAATCTTGGCAACGCCTATCACAGTCTTGGAGATTTCCAGAAAGCCATAGAGTACCATGAACGAGACCTCAAAATTTCCAAAGAAGTGGGAGACAGGGCAGGAGAAGGAAAAGCGTACTGTAATCTTGGCAACGCCTATGACAGTCTTGGAGATTTCCAGAAAGCCATAGAGTACCATGAACGACACCTCAAAATTTCCAAAGAAGTGGGAGACAGGGCAGGAGAAGGAAATGCGTACTGTAATCTTGGCAACGCCTATGACAGTCTTGGAGATTTCCAGAAAGCCATAGAGTACCATGAACGAGACCTCAAAATTTCGAAAGAAGTGGGAGACAGGGCAGGAGAAGGAAAAGCGTACGGTAATCTTGGCAACGCCTATTACAGTCTTGGAGATTTCCAGAAAGCCATAGAGTACCATGAACGAGACCTCAAAATTTCCAAAGAAGTGGGAGACAGGGCAGGAGAAGGAAAAGCGTACTGTAATCTTGGCAACGCCTATGACAGTCTTGGAGATTTCCAGAAAGCCATAGAGTACCATGAACGAGACCTCAAAATTTCCAAAGAAGTGGGAGACAGGGCAGGAGAAGGAAAAGCGTACTGTAATCTTGGCAACGCCTATGACAGTCTTGGAGATTTCCAGAAAGCCATAGAGTACCATGGACGAGGACCTCAAAATTTCCAAAGAAGTGGGAGACAGGGCAGGGAAGGAAAAGCGTACTGTAATCTTGGCATTTTTTTTAAAAAGTCTTGGAGATTTCCAGAAAGCCATAGAGTACCATGAACGACACCTCAAAATTTCCAAAGAAGTGGGAGACAGGGCAGGAGAAGGAAGAGCGTACGGTAATCTTGGCAACGCCTATGACAGTCTTGGAGATTTCCAGAAAGCCATAGAGTACCATGAACGAAACCTCAAAATTTCCAAAGAAGTGAGAGACAGGGCAGGAGAAGGAAAAGCGTACTGTAATCTTGGCAACGCCTATCGCAGTCTTGGAGGTTTCCAGAAAGCTATAGAATACCATGGACGACATCTCAAAATTTCCAAAGAAGTGGGAGACAGGGCAGGGAAGGAAAAGCGTACTGTAATCTTGGCAACGCCTATGACAGTCTTGGAGATTTCAGAAAGCCATAGAGTGCCATGAACGAGGCCTCAAAATTTCCAAAGAAGTGGGAGACAGGGCAGGAGAAGGAAGAGCGTACTGTAACCTTGGCAACGCCTATCACAGTCTTGGAGATTTTCAGAAAGCCATAAAGTACACTGAACGACACCTCAAATTTTTCAAAGAAGTGGGAGACAGGGCAGGAGAAGGAAAAGCGTGCGGTAATCTTGGCAACGCCTATGAAAGTCTTGGAGATTTCAGAAAGCCATAGAGTACCATGAACGAGACCTCAAAATTTCCAAAGAAGTGGAAGACAGGGCAGGAGAAGGAAAAGCGTACTGTAATCTTGGCAACGCCTATCGCAGTCTTGGAGATTTCCAGAAAGCCATAGAGTACCATGAACGACATCTCAAAATTTCCAAAGAAGTGGGAGACAGGGCAGGAGAAGGAAAAGCGTACAGGAATCTTGGCAACGCCTATGACAGTCTTGGAGATTTCAGAAAGCCATAGAGTACCATGAACGACATCTCAAAATTTCCAAAGAAGTGGAGACAGGGCAGGAGAAGGAAAAGCGTACAGGAATCTTGGCAGTACCATATGACAGTCTTGGAGTGGGAGACAGGGCAGGAGGAGGAAAAGCGTACTGTAAGACAGCCATTTACTGTTATAAAAACAGTGTCATTGCCTACGACTATATCAGGGGAAATCTCATATCTAATGACGAATGGAAGATTAGTCTTCGGAGTACGTATGATAATGTTAATTTGAGGCTCTGGGGGCTACAGTTTTAGCAAGGTAAAGTCGTTGAGGCACTTTTAACTGCTGATCATGGACGCGCCCAAGCCTTAAATGATCTTCTGGAGTTTAAGTATGGCTTTAAAGGGTTGTTTCGAGAAATAGGAACATTCTCAGGAACAAAACCTGACATTCTTAATTGCCTACCATCAAATACAGCTTTTATAGGTATTAACGAGGAAGGAATAGTTCTCTGGGTAAACGAGAAAGGAAACGAAATCAAAACTAGAAAAACTCAGATCGATATCTCCGTCAAAACCTATTTACAGTCGCTACTGGAGACTGCACTTGAAAAAATGGGTGTGAGAACTGATGTCAACTGTGAAGATCGTTCATTAAGGAACCCAAGCGATAACAAGTTAGCAGAAAAAAGATCCTGTCAGCCAAGGTCTCATTCCTCATCTTTTGAGCCAAAGTCATTACAAACATTTTACAAAGTTGTTATGGACCCTATAAGAGAGTTACTCCAAGGCGATGAGGTTGTGGTTGTTCCACAAGGACCTCTTTGTTTGGCCCCCTATGCGGCTTTCGTTGACTTGAAATCTAAGTACCTCTGCGAAACTTTTAGAATTCGCCTTCTTCCCTCACTTTCTAGTCTGCGATTAATCCAAAATTGTCCAGCAGATTGGCACAGCAACACTGGCGCTCTTCTCGTCGGCGATCCGTGGGTACAGGAGGTAATTTATGAAGGAATGAGGCTAGAGCAGTTAGCGTGGGCGGAAAAGGAAGTGAAGATGATTGGGGAAATACTTCAAACTGAACCTCTCGTTGGAAAGCATGCAACAAAAGATAAAGTGTTAACACGTATCTCCTCGGTTGCTCTGGTGCACATTGCTGCTCACGGTAAAATGGAAACAGGAGAAATCGCCTTGGCCCCAAACACAACACGTTCATCCGTGAATCCAGCCAGGGAGGACTATCTGTTAACGATGAAAGATGTTTTAAAGGCGCAGATTAGGGCAAGACTTGTTGTACTCAGTTGTTGTCATAGTGCCCGGGGAGAAGTCAAATCTGAGGGTGTGGTCGGTATTGCACGGGCATTTTTAGGTGCTGGTGCTCGCTCTGTTCTGGTGTCGTTGTGGGCGATCGACGACGAAGCTACTATGGAGTTCATGAAAGTTTTCTACCAACAACTAGTCCATGGACGAAGTGCCAGTGAGTCTCTGAATAAAGCCATGAAATCCATGAGAGAATCTGACCGCTTTAACGCAGTGAAGTACTGGGCGCCGTTTGTTCTCATTGGTGACGACGTAACGCTCGAGTTTAAGGGCATCAATAAATAGTAAGGTATTTTTAGGATATAATTATTTAAACCTTGGATAATATTGCGTGGTTTAGGAAACATCATTTTAACAAGGAATTATAGTTATTTATGACCTTTTTATTGAGCAACGAACTCAACCGGTGCCACGTAGCGTCAATCTGCCAATCACAGGTCAAGTTCAACAACAATGGAGTCTGACTTTGGTAGTTCTTTTGGCAGTTAAACACTATAAAATTTATTTCAAGTCGCATGATTTTTTCACATTTCGAAGTGTGCCCCGTCTGAGTTCGTTCCACTGTAACTTACAGTCGAACCTGACGTAAGCGACGACCCAAAATGCGAAGATCAAATTTCCGGTCGCTTATTTTACGGAAGGTGGTCGCTTAGGAAAGTCTCCAGATATGGGAAATCCTTTATTAAGCCTCCCGGGGGGTTTACTCATTTCAAGAACGTTTGAGAGGGAGGAGGGGCTTATTTAATGAAGCGAAGATTGTGATATCATTTCCCCATAAAGAACTAGAACCTAAAGTGAAAAATCTCAGGGACATGAAGTCGGAGGTCATGATCAGCCGAGGATCAAAATCAAATCGAAAGTTGCAGCTCGTGAATAAACCATACCCGATAATCAGTCCACATGAAGTGTTAGAGTCGTGATAAATTAACGCATCTATCATACGTCTATTGCATAAGAATAGGGAGAGGAGACTTGAAAGAGAGGAGGAGGTTAAATAATTTTCCTCTTAAAAGGGGAGCCTATTAGAAAGAAAGGCTTAATAAAGAATTTATGGTATGGAAGTTTCTTTGAATCTACAATAAGTCTAATCATTGGTTGAAGTTACGAGTTTTAATGTGACCCTTTGCTCTTATAAATTTAGGGCGTGTTCGATTCACCGTATTCCGCGTCTTAATTAAAAATAAATTAATGGAATAACCTCCGCAGAAATCACTTGTTCTGTCTTTCATTCTACAAAACTGCATGAAATAAAGTATTTTGATCTATATAAACTTAAATTGTTCAAAAATTACGGTATAGAAGAGGTTTGCATCAAAACTTTTGCGTATTCTTATTCCGGGGTACGATCAATCGAGCACACTCTTAAAAGTCAGTTGTCAAAATGTTATGCCTCGCCAGATGAAGTGACTATCCTTTTCTTTTGTTAGCTTGCTAACGTTGCTTTTCCTGTTGCGGTTGTTGTTGTTGTATAGGTATGATGAAGAATGCAGTGAAGCAGTTCCTAACTATCTGAGGGTGAAGACAGTTTCTAATTTTGTCACGATTACGAGGTGGATCGTTCCTCGCAAGAATAGAAACACTGTATCCAGAAGAAAAAATTATCTGCTGTTAATATTTTGCGTAGTCTGAAAATGACAGTGTACGTTTCGTAACTTATTTTGCGACCAGTCATGTGCCCTTGAAACTTGTTTTATAGTCACCTGAAAAATATCGGGAATCAGTAGTCAATTTCGGCTATTTTCATCGATACCATATGGGACAGAGGCACTTCAGACTAGCAATTTAATATAGCTCTTTACTTTTATATTATGTACACAGTTGTAGTTTTTAATTCTTTTGGCAGATTGGTTTAAGTTTATTAGTGTCTAGATTGGTTTTGATTTAAGTCTACATGACCTTTAATTATACATATGTACAGAGGATACGTTTTACACCTCACCTAAATTGTACCTATAGAAATTAAGACGGAATCCACCAGGAAATTGAGTAATTACCCTCCTAACCTTCTTAGTGCCAAGCAGTGGTGGTCTGCATAAAATACTCATACATGAAGTAAGACGTTACTGTTAAAGCAAGCCATGGATACCAGGGGTTTTTCTCTCGCTGCTTCCGGCGTTTAAATCACGGATCTACGTTTATATCAAAAGAAAGCGGATTTCTAGCATTTTTATATATTTTTAGCGAAGCGTCGGCTATAAAATGGAGAAATAAATTGGGATAGTTTGTCTAAAAAGCAAATCGTTGTTTTCAGATTGTCTCATTCCGTTACTGCGACTTCACCGATTAAACGTCAGAACCTTTGGAAATGCGCTGGTGTCCGGTTAATAGAGGTTTTGCTGTATCTTTGTCTACCTGTTATAAATTGTTCAGCCTCCAGCAAATATGATAGCGCACAAACCAGTTGCAATTGTTATGAGGTAGTTGCCTTTAGTTTTTGTTTTTCAGTTTTGCTATTTTTAAGATTTTGCTAGCTTCGTGATAAACAGTTTATAGACCTCTATAGACTTGGAGACTCAGAGATTCAGTGTATTTCCCCACATGGTTAGTTCCTGAGTTTTTGTGTAGTATTATCCATTTGAAGTGTTTGTTAAGCTTAGTTTTGTTTCTTTGAAGTAGGCTTGTTTGGGGAGTACCGCTGACCTTGAGTTTTACCCACAATCGAGTTCCTGTTTTGTATATTTAGTCCTTCTGGGCAGTTTTACTGTTAGCATTTAACTGGTTCTTTGATGCTTGTTGGTTGCGGCTGTGTAGGCTTATCTAACTATAGCAAACCTGTTGCAATATAGGCGATAAGATATTCAATAGAAACTCTTCCGGTCAGCTAACCCAAACTAAGTCTACAATTTGGTTATTTAATTCGCTGTGTAAGCTAGTAGAAATTGTAGAGTTGTTGTAAGTAGCTCTTGAAGATTAAACTGCTATCTTAAAGAGAAAGAACAGAGTCTTGGTCCTCTAGTTTCAAAGCCTAGCGAGCTTTACAAGCCCTCAACACAATCTTTGCATGATTAAAATGGACAACCTCCCTCAGTTCCAGAATATTTTTTTTCCCGTGAAATATTTCACATTATTCCTTGAAAATCAATACGTTCCCCGTCTCTATGCCCGTTTGAGGTTCCTAGTTAATTAATCTCAAAGGGGCACAAAGGAAGTTTTGACAATAAATAAGGGGACGACGTTCCAATCCCTAAATTGAACTATACCGTAAAAGATCCATTAAACCACTAGGGTGTGTGTTAATTTCTTTTAAGTTTTGAGAGGGACCTCTTTTATGTCCAGAGTCAATAATAGGGTAGACTAAGAAAAGTCCCCATTTTTCCTCAGAGAGACTAGAGCGAACGAAACGCGAGCGCACGTGAAAATCTCACCACGCGAGGAAAGGCGAGACGCAGCGGTAGAGAGCGTGGAGTGAGTTTCACGCGCGGTTGCGTTTCGCTCGCTCTACTATACCTGAGGAAAAATGGGGACTACTCATAGTCTAATAATAGGGAGGCGTTTAAAAAGATTTGCGTCTTAGTAAATGGATGTGCCAAAATATATACATTACGATTTCGTCCCCAATGTCAATGTCGATATTATAAAAAGGGTTCTAAACTTACATAGAGAGCTGAGATTGATGCCCTTCCGCCTGATCTTGCCTGGGATAAAACGTTTTCAGCAAAAATAATTAATAAAAAAACCCTTCAAAGGCGTGCCCTATATTATGTGTGTGATTGAACTAGATATGGTGCGTGCTTAGTAGGGTTGGGAGTAGTATAAGGTAGGGTAGGGTTGGGAGTAGTATAAGGGTAGGGTAGGGTTGGGAGTAGTATAAGGTAGGGTAGGGTAGGGTTGGCTAGAGACTATTAGTAAGAGCTTATAATCAGAAACTGCGCTTTTATTGGATTGTTCGCACTGGTGACTCATTTAACTTGAAGTTTACTCTGATGAACAAACGATTATTTTAAACTTGACAGGAATTCTGCTGCCTCATACAGAAACGTCCTTTAGGCTATTTTTCTGCTAAAATTCCCTTTATACTTTCCTCTTAGATATAACATTTAGTGTACATTTATGTGGAGAAGGTAGGCGGCAATTTTATTTTGAGCCACTTTTGACGGAAAAAAACGTGTAAATCCCTATGGCATAGCTCGTCTGACATTTGATGTCAGAGAGAATTTATCATTCAGGTATTGCATGTAACAAGAAAGAGTCAAAGCAAAATTCTAACCCATAATTTAGCCTGAAGTGTTAGTCGCTTTCTCGCCCGACACATTACGCTAGTTAACCTTAAAATCCAGTCCCAATGTCGACAGAAACGGGAATCCCGTTTGCTACTAAACCGACTTGAGAAATGCTTCTCGGGCCCTAAATGTGCGTAATGTGCGTTGCTTTGCATGACTACGATGCCGTTTTGTACGGGTAAACTGACAGGGCTGAATAACGTACTGCGCGTGTCCGTGACATCATGCACCTATCATCTGATAAACTCACGAAGAAGAAATTCTGACAATTAGAAGTGCAAGCCTTGTTAAGGAATTTTAAGTGAACCAGGGATCAAAGAAAACGCTTTTGACCCTCTCGGCGAGGCTTTTCATTGTTTTGATCGTAAGTTTTATCAGAAAGATGACCGAGAGAAAAAGAGCATTGCTGGATGTTTGGCGACTTTTCTTCAATGGTACGTAAACGATTTACTTTAATATTATATTACCTTATTACGTTTGAAGAAGAGCAAATCTTTGTAATATAGCCGAGAGATGACTCTTGTGGGTCGTTATTGCACAGGCAATCGGCCAGAAAACCCCCACCACACCCCCCATCACTTTTCTAATGGTCCTTCCCTAACTGACCAAATAACCCCCCAGCAGCTCACCACTCAAAACATAAACGGGATTAAAATGTTGCAATTTAAATACAATAATAAGTCAATCCATTAGACGGATCGATAAACTTCAAAGCTCTATGTTCTCTTGAGTTTTCTATAAGTTTTGACTGAATTAAAAAGATTTCGTCAGTCTTTACTTCTCAGTTTAGTCACACAAGAAGTTTCTAAAGTAGTCAGCATATTCTTTAGGAATAAGATCCTCTCCTTCAAGTATCTCATTGATATAAATTTGGCTCGGTTTTAGCCCCTCTTTAACATACTCTTCATAAGCTTGATACGCTGTCGCATCCACGATTTCGCCGCTTTTTCGTTCCACCTGTACGTTCACTCTCCGAAGCCTCCCTGCTTCGTGTTCATCTAACTTGGCTAAACTTCCTTTTAAACAGATGTACAAGGCACCATAAACGGTTGACTCCTTATCTGGGATAATATTAGCATAACCAAAGCCATCGTCTTTCCATATGCTAAATACGACGCGAAATCCTCGAAGTACTGCGCTTTCGCGAGAGATGAACCTAGTGCCGCGTTCCCGCATTTTTCTTGCGCTCAGATTTGACCCAAAAGCAAAGTAAAGCTCTGTTGCTTCCATGGGTGTACAGTCTCCTTGACTATTTTATACCAAGCTGTGGTCGCTAATGAAAATGAGTCACACTTGATCGCCCTAGTGTGCGATGATGCTCACAGTTGCATCTCATTAGCTCATTAGCTGTCCCAGGCGTTTCAAAGTCATGGAGCGGCGTGAAGGAAAGTGTAGCCTGCGTAGCTGGCGGGATTATTGTGCCTGGGGTACTTTCTTGGCGGCGGACCTGCCATTCGAAGCGAGTGAAAGGTGAAAATCCCTCCTTGACTTACTCCCAATCTTCACGCGGCTTCGCCGCCAAAAAACTACAGCACTCGCGGCTAAATCGCCAGCTACGCAAGCTAAGGAGAGTGTGAGTCTCCGTTCCCTTCTTCGAGCCGATCCCCTCTATTTCTTCTCTCAATGAGTCACCACTTTATGAATTCGGCACCCCATGTATGGTAATCATCCTAGAATACGAGCACTCTCTCTTTTTTCTTAATATTCAGTCGAGACAAGCAAATCCACATGAGCATAAATGAAGGCGCGAGGCAGGAGAGGCACGTTTCTCACCTCTTTTCTGGCGTCTCCCGCGCGCGTGCACTCCCCTCACTAAATCCGAAGAAAAAGAGAGACTGCTCGCAGTTTATAATCATCCGGAATCAGGGAAATTTTTGAGTTTGGAAACCGGAATCCTGGGCTTTGGAATTCCTAATTTAGCTAAAAAAACTCTGGAATTCTGCTGCCGTTAACTGAGAAAATGCTTTTGAACAAAAGAAAAACAAACTCAGATACTAGATATCTCTAGGAATTACGTCTTGCACAAGACTCTTCGCAGATGATATGAAGGTGTCTTGGGTACTCAGGGACACTAAGCAAGATGCCGGAAGAACTCGGCAGAAAGATCCTACTCGTTTGGAATATTGGGGCAATTGAGATTTAACACTGATAAATGCAAAGTGATGCGTATTTCTAAAAAGACAAACACCGTCGTCGCAAGCTAAGGAACCTGAATTGATATTTGTTATTGGAAGTCATGCATATTGCACGCGCAATCTACAGATTAGTCAGGTATCCGCTAGTAGATAACTAACTAATCTGTAGGTTCTGTAGACTAGGTTGCGCTGATTTCCAAAATTAGCTGTAGGCTCTTAGCCAATGAAAAGACAGATAGTGGTTATTTTGGAAAAGGGGAAATAATGATTTTCATCCTGGAGTAGGCCTGGGGAATAGTTTCGAAGGCTCGATCAAGAGACAAGCTGTACAGCGGTCATAACCTAAAGAACAGGAAAATTCAAGATGGAGGACGGTAAGCATGCTTTCTCAATGGCTTATTGCTTAAATTTATCCTTAATTTGTCGCTATTCAGTTAAAGAAAAATGTTTTCTTTATATTATTAAGTCTTTTTTTCATATTCATTTCACGAAAATGAAACGTTTGCAACTGTTCGCGGCGTTGATTTTCACCTTTTTCGTGATTGATTGGTCTGGTTTGTAGCGGTATGTCGATGACTTATTCTCTTGATTTCAACTACTCTCACTAGTATTACCTGTCTTTAAGGGTTACTTCAATTTATACTTGGGTTCAGGAGAATTTCTGCCATTGCTCTCATATAATGACCATGAAAAATGTATCATTTTCCTTTGTAAATGTCATTTTTAGTCCACCAATTTTCTGAAAATTCTAACAGTATGAAATGTATTTCTTTTAGTTGTTGATTACAATTTTTAGGTCAGTTTCCATTGAGATCATGATACCCTTTATAAGCCACTCCTTGTGCATGTGAATTTCACACTTGTTGATGCCGACCAGTTTACTTGTGGCGGCTGTTTTTGTTTTGTTATAATTATATGAGGCTTATAGGTTTACCTACGTTTAATTTGTACTAATATTGTACTTTTGCATTGGTCGCTAAAATGATCTGGCTCCGTTTACTTTGTTAATGTTTTGCTCAGCATATCTTGTTATCATTTATGATGTATCTTAAATCTAGCTATACATCATACCAAGGTGAGACTAACCTTTTAGTTTTCTATGTTGTTTTGGTAGATCTTGAATTGGAGCATGAGGGAGCAGCTCCAGGATCCACCTCACAGCCAGTTAGGCGAAACATTTCTTTAAAACTGAAAGCAAAGAGCAAGTCAGCAAGCTCATTGTCGTCTGGGAAAAGCAAGAAAAAGGAAGGAAAAAGCGGAGAAAAGTCTAGGACAGGATCTGAAGGTAAAGAAGCCAATTTTCTTTCAACGCTGTACAATGTATGTGTCCGATTTTAAGCCTTGCTGTCATGTTGTTTCCTTACAAACGTTACTCCCCCAGGTGCATAAAATTTAATGGCATGGCATGCTGTGTGAAGTTTGTTGAGAGACACACACTCTTGAGCATCTCTGTCAATATGAGCCTAAGGCTATGGATTTCCTTTGGCTACTATGAGCATGACCCCAGGCTACTTTCATAAGAAACAAATGAAATATAGAGGCAATGCAGTGTTTGAAAAATCTTGAATTCCAGCTTGTCCTTGGGGCAAGCAGCTCTCATATTTTGCTTGCTTAGGGCCACCTCTTGCTTGTCTTAGTTAATGATTTTATTAGAGGATCAGTTGTCTTGACCCTCATTGGGTAAGTGAGCCTTAAAAGTAACTTGTCCAGCAAGAAAATCTACCTGACCAGGACTACTGGATGGGACTTGTTTTGAGCCCTGCAACAGAAATTTGTTGCTGTTCATTTCTCTGCCTACATATTGTACATTTAAACATGTACGGTATATCCAGCAACTTGAAATCTGAGCAACAGCCCTGCTTGAGGAAATAAGCAACATTGACAAGTTTTTCATTTTTCTGTGAATGCTTGTTTATTCAAAAGAGACAATCAGTATTACAGTGGAACCTCGGTATAATGAAACTCTGTATAACGAAGTCCGGTATAACAAACGATTTTCTTTACCCCAGTCATGGTAAGATATGAAAAAGAACCTCAATATAACGAAACCTCGTCGATATGGTAATCACATTTTGCCAGTCGCTTTTCCCTTCGTTAAATTGAGGTTCCACTGTACAGATGTTTCTTGAACCTTCTGGAAAAACCTATTTGGAAAAACAGGTTTTTCATGAATGGTCTTTTTGTTGTTACATCTTACCTGTTTTCCCCCTTTTGTCACTAACTGATCTGTCAGAGACTTCTCTTGTATTTTGGCTCATAAATAAATTTCAAGTTGTTTTTGAAAACTTAACTCTCTGGTAAACCATGATTTTTTG